ATCAATCATCCAATCATCAGGGCTGTGGCCCTAGCACAAGATACTAATAAAATGTCACAAACTTTAAGAAAATTTCAATAAGACTTATCGGACAATTAGTTGGAGAAAGTCTCTAGTTTAAAGAACAATTATGCATCAAGTATAAAGCTTGACAGAGGCGCAAAAATAGATATGATGCTGCTTGAATGTATGCAAGATAGCACTGCTTCCTTATTCACTGTGGCAAGTTACACACAAATTCGAAGTCATCCTTGCAAGCAGTTTATAGTGGGTACCTGAAGCGTTTCGGGAAGTAGTTGAATAGTAGTGAGTTTTGGGAGAGTTGGCCTCGGATCTTTGTTCGTTCTCACTGGGAAAAAGAAGTTCTAGAAGGCTTTTGCAACAGGTGTTTAAGGTATATGAAGAGGTACGCGGAGTTGTGTGAGTAGAAGGTCCACTTGTCGGTGCCCTGGTCTGTAGACTCCTCGGTCGCATGATGAACATATGCATGTGCATACAGCATTGTGTTAGCGCGCTTGTATGTGAATACGTATGCTCAGAAGGTAATGCACACTCTCGTGCATTAGGCCTGTATGCCTTCAGGGCGATGTGTAATTGCAGGAGCAAGCATGTGTGCTGTAGTTATGACCATGTTCCAGAGTGTACCTCCCCACACGAGCACTATATTTATGGGTGGCTGGGTGGACATGTGAACACTTCATCTGTTGATTAAGATGCTTGGTCTCAGATTCTCGGCATAACTCCAGGCAAAGCCGTCTACCACAAACTTCAGTACATCCAGCCTTCACCACCAACCGAAATCCGTCCCACCGCCACCAGCTGCAGCTGCTGTTGGTTGGACAAAGCGGGCTTGACCACCTGCCATTGTCGCGACACCGTCCACACTGGTGGACCCCGGCACGGCGAAACCACTGCCGGTCAGATTGTGCGCAAGGTTGGCCAGCCTGCCGGAGACGTCAAAACCACCGCCAGTCGACTGACTCAAACCGAGAGTAGACCTCGAGGCGTTCAATTGGACGGGGTGAGCGGCTGGCGCGGCAAGCCGATTCAAGAAGATCCCGCCAGCCGGGCCTATGAGGGGAAAAAGCAGACGAGTTCAATCAGCTTTGGCAGTATTCTGCTGAAGTGCATGGTCTTGTGGCAGAGAGGAGGATCGAATGACCTCTTACAACACAAGACTCGGCATACAAAACAAGTATATATGAAATATATTCAAACTATTTAGTTTAATGAGATGTATTCACTCTATTTTGTGTAAGGTGATGAAGGACTGGTAGTAGATTTTTCCCACAATGATATGAGTTGAGCTGACGTTTTCATTGAATTTCACATAGCCTTGCTTTCCCAAAAGT